GTAGGATGGTAAGTGGGATGAAGGATGGGGAAGAGGGTTGGGGGATCGTACCAAAGGATAAATGAGGGAATTTTGAGGGGTCCTGTTTAGCGGAATGTCTCCCCAGAAGGAGTGCCTTGACCGAAGCGTGCGCTGGTCGTCCCGCAAATCATTTCGTAGACGAAATGGCATTTCAGAGCCGTTTGCAGGGGCTGTTTCCCAGAGACTGGACCTCGACAGAACCGAACCCCGAAAGAAGTATTTTATCTTCGAAATTTAACGTCCGGCATGTTCTGTAGTACGATTGCTGTAATTTGTTTTTTTCCAGATTGATTCTACTGCGGGGTGGTAATGCAGTTGATGCGGCTATTTCAACAATCTTCTGTCTATCAGCCGCACTACCTCATAGAGGAGGACTCGGTGGTGGATTTATGGCTACAATCTACAGTGACTCAACCTGTACTACCTTAAACTCTAGGTTGGCCGATCCTGTTTTCCAGTCCCTCACAACTTCGTCCTCATCTTCATATATAAATAAAAATATCTTAAGGTCAATCTATACTTATTCTAAGTGTCAAGAGGGTGGTGGTGGGCGGTACAACTAGAGAGGCGTCAGAACTGCCACTTGTTAGGGTAGCAGCGCGGTCGTTACTTACTGTGAGAGGGAGGACTGCATTTAATCTTGCGCGTATCGTTCCATGGGACTCGAATATTGGTGCCAGGGATGAAACAGCTCGCATAGCGGACGACTTAAGCAGTGTCAGGTCTAACAACAACTATTCCAGAGAAACCTGTCCGTCAGCAGCCTCGGAAACATATTTTCTGAATCGCCGCGATGAAACCGTTGTAGGTAAATATTTTTTCAATAGCTGTATCAATGTATTTTCATTTATGTAGCGATTTTAGTCCTTTATTTGCAGGACCGAAAGCAGTCGCTGTTCCTGGATTTCCTCAGCGGGCTCTATAGAGCTTTTGAGGGTTTCGCGTCAAAGCGCCTGACATGGCGACAACTGCTCACCCCTACTATTGAGCTGTGTGTTCGTGGTATCAGCGTGTCTGAAGATTTGTCAAAAGACCTCCAACGGTTTCGCTCGATGATTATGAACGATCCCATTATGAGGTATCTCTCTTCCCAGTCTTGATTAGAGTCTTTTCTAAAGTGTGTATTTCCGAGCTCAAGAAGTAGCTTATTTTGAGACCTCCATCTTTTGAACAAGCTTCACGCTCGTCGTGGAGGCGGTGCCGAGTCTAGGAAATCATGTCGTATATCCAAGTGTCTCTGCCATAAGGCCAGGGTGAAATGTGCACCTTTGGGAGCGTTCAGACTTTGCACGGCAGTCGCCTCTATGGCGGTTCGACGCCATCAGTGCAGTGGAAAAGCCGTGCGCATACGATGCGTGTCGAACGAGCGACGCGAAACGCCTAATGGCCGTCGCCGAAAGTCCTAACCCGGCCTAAGATCTGGCGATCAGCTGGGGGATCTCTCATTAATGCAGTTCCAGAAGAAAGGTGGGAGGGAGCTCAAAGGTGAATTAGTCAGCTGGAACAGCTCGGCACGCCGTGTAGAGAAATTCTTCACTGGCCATCACAATATTGCTGGTAATCGCTCGCAATCTGCCGGCAGCGGCTATCAGGAGGCATGCAAACAGCCCTCTGCAGGCTGCACTTTTCACAATTAACGATCGGTTTTGGAAAGCAGCCAGTGGTGGAAAACACCGCGTGTGCGGAACAAATGAGTGCCTGACTCCGCGCAGACCTGATGCGGCGACAACTGTTGCATTCTGCGCTAAACATATTCAGGAAAAATATAAGGCGAAAGTGATCAAATTTCATCTTTCCAAGTGAAAGCTTAGGCTAACTTCATATATTTTTGCGCTCGTTGATTGATTTATTGTTGGAAGGTTGAACATTATAAGGTCTCAATTCGTCAACGAAACAACAAGAAAAGTTCCTCGCCAAAGGAAGCAAGATGTTCTGTCCGCAACTCGCTAATTTCCTCTCGGACATTTGTGACTCTGAAAACCCTGTGGAATATTTTTATCGAGGAGAAGGATCCATGAGGTTACTGAAAGCAATTAATGAAGAAGGTGAGGAAGGAGCTCTTTTAAAATGCTATGTGAATAATCAAAATGCTATGTGAATAATTGCCTAAATTGATAACAGAAGCCTTCATAAGCGCGCAGGACCTGGATGACTTCGAGACTGAACGCCAGTATGGGCTGCAGTCTCATGTGGGCAGTGTGACACTTTGTGGGCCACAACCACCTTCGTTATTCACTGTTGTCCAACTAGCAGTCAAAGCTATGCAGAGTAGGCCATTAGAAACACTTTAATAAAGTCCTAAAGGTAGTGGGCAGAATAGCTGGAGGCGGGCGGTTATTGCCAGCATCATTGGTGGAGCTGAAGGAGGGCGAACTGCCCAACCTCCGGTGTGGTCAACGCCCTTCCACCAATGACGCTGGCAACAACCGCCCGCCCCAGCCATCGCGCCCGCTGCCTTCAAAAGCGCAGTTCACGCTGGTCGTATGGGCGAACTATGGCCTTCCACTGGCTATTCCTCAATAGCGCGCCTCTCGTTCTTACCTGACTTCACCATACGACCAACATGAGGTGTGTCATTAAGTGCTAAATGTACTGGAGGTGAGGCACCAATTCAGGCACCAATTCGACATCACTCAACATCCCATTTCTATCATGGGATCAGTCAAAATTGGTTGCGGATGCCATTTTCGACCCTGATATTGCAAAAGATGTGGCGAAAATGACTACCGGGAGAG